ATTAAATGCATCAAACCTCCCCCTCCCCCAATTTGCACTCGCCCCTGGGAAGAGCCGCCCCTTCGCCCCTGGGGCTAAATCCAGGAGTTACTGGACGCCCGCTGGTCGTCATCGTCATCATGCAGTTGCAGTAACAACAACAACAACAACAACAACAACAACAACAACAACAACAATAATTGGAAAATCATTGAAAAAGGAAAAAATCCGAAAGGCCTGCCGTATTGATGACCAGGCTAAGCGGACAAGCAGCTGCAGTCCTCCTGTTCAGCTTTTAACAGGGGAGGGGGGTTTAAAGGGTCATGAGGACTAGCCTCTTGACTAGCTGCTGCAGTCAGCAGCTGCTCAGGCTGCTTTTAGTAGGCATTTAGGTCCAAGTTTGTGTGTTATCCAGGTAAAAATAAAACAAATCAATATGTACACCCCCCACATACACTGGATTAAATCTCTATGCAGCAAATGTGTTTATTGAAAAAAATTTATTATTGGGACACATCAACTCTACAAGGATATACTGTGATTTATAAATAGAAAACACCCCGATGTGACACAGGTACAATAAACTAGACTTAACAAAAGGGTGAAGGAAAAAGAAAGGTTACTTACCTGTAACGATGGTTCTTCAAGTGGTCATTCTGTGAATTCACACAATCCCGCCCGGCCTCCCCTCTGTCTGTCTGTCACTGGCATCTCTATGACTCGAGGGCCTATGGCAGACAAATGGAACTGAGGGACGGTTAGGCTGGGCGTGCGCAGTAGGGGTAGTCCTAAACATTGTTACTTTTCTCTTGCAGCTAGAAAACGTTCCGAGAGGCCCAACGCTGGCGCTGGTATTAACCCTTTGTGTGCATTCACAGAATGACCACTTGAGGGGGGGGGGGTTGAAGGGGACACACGAGGACTCTCTCGGCTCATCGTCGCCTAACTTTGAATGAACGACCCCGAGGGGGAAAAAGTGGAACACACGCGGGTTGTCGAAACGGAGCGAAGACAAAAGAGGCGAGTCGAGAAGGGCTCCCGAAAGCGCCGCTGGAAGGGCCGAAGAAAAGGCCACGAGAGGAGGCGGGAAGGCGGGCAGGAGGAGAGGCCTTTCCC